GAGAAGGGAGAGTGTTGACATGTCGTGGGGTTGCTAACCAATGTCATAAAACAATATGTGTACTGACTGTTTAATGAGAAACTATTTGTTCTGTAAACCTTCATCTAAAGTACAATAAAAAAAAAAATCAAAACCTGGGGCCATCACGTGTCATTAATTCTTCCTTTTTTGGTATAAAAAAGAAAGATGAAATATTACTCACCAGACCTCGTGTAGTTCTATTTCCTGCTGCAGTTGACAAGGACCCTGAAACAATAAACTTGTAACAAAAAGAAAAATGAAGATAAAACTTTAAGCAGATATTTGAAGTTATAATTTACCAAAACTTATCCCTAAATTAAATAGAAATTATAAACAGACCAATTATCTTAGAAGAAACATAAAACTTTGTAAATAATTCTCCCCTCCTCAAGAAAGAACAGAGAAATTCTACCAGAGGGAATAATAAGGGAAATTTATCAAGCCCTTCAAATATAGCTAATATCAATGGTATTTAAATATTTCCAGAACATTGAAATACAAAGAAAGCTTCCAAATTCCTAATATGAGTTAACTCTAATATTGATATCAAATTTAAACAAGATATTAAAAAAATAAAAAGGAAGAAACTAAAGAATAATCTCTCTTTTTTCTTCTTCTTCTTCTTTTTGAACATTTTATTGTGGTTTAGATGAAAGTTTACAGATCATATTAGTTTCCCAATCAACAATTTATAAACAGATTTTTTCATATCATTGGCTGCAGTCCTCTCAAGGTGCCAGCGCTCTTCTCACTTTCACCCTGGGTTCCCCATTTCCATGCACCCAGATATTCTGCCTCATCCTTCCTTCTGAACTTTGTTTTTGAGTAAATGCTAACTTTTCAGTCTCCTATATTTAAATGTTTTGAGGAACTCATTCCTCGCTTGTGTTATTGCCATTCTATAGATCTGCCTATTGTTAGGATGAAAGGTGAGCTCCAGGAGTGGTTTGAGTTCCAAGTTTGAAGGGTATCTAGGGGCCATAGTCTCAGGGGTTCCTCCTGTCTCTATCAGACCAGTAAGTCTGGTCTTTTTTTTTTATGCATTCGAATTTTGCTCTACACTTTTCTCTCACTCTGTCCAGGACCCTCAGTTGTGATCCCAATCAGTGGGGTCGGTAGGGTTTCCTGATACATAGAAAATCCCAGAGATTCTACAAGAAAACTGCTGGAAATAATAGATGGACGCAGCAAAGTGTCAGGGTATAAGATCAGCATGCAAAAATCAGTCAGATTCCTCTACACTAACAAAGAAAATTCTGAAAAGGAAATTAAGAAAACGATATCATTTACAATATCACCCCATAATATAGAATATTTAGACATAAACTTAACAAAGGACATAAGAGACTTATACAAAGAAAACTACAAAACACTATTGCAAGAAACCAAAAGAGACCTACATAAATGGAAAAATATACCATGCTCATGAATGGGAAGATTAATACAGTGAAAATGTCAATAATACCCAAAGTAATCTATAGATATAATGCAATTCCAACACAAATTCCAACAATATTCTTTAACGAGATGTAAAAAATAATTACCAACTATATACGGAAAAGAAAGAGGAACCAGATAAGTAAAGCATTACTAAAGAACAACGAAGCAGGAGGACTCACACTTCCCAATCTCAGCACCTACTATAGAGTCACAGTAGTCAAAACAGCATAATAACACTCACATAGACCATTGGAACAGAATAAAGATTCTAGAAGTAAATGCATCAACCTGTGGACAGTTGATCTTCAACAAGAAGTTGAAATGCATTAAATGGAGAACAGATAGTCTTTTTAACAAATGGTGCTGGCAAAACTGGATAACCATTTGCAGAAAAATGAAACAAAATCAATACCTTACACCATACACAAAAACTAACTCAAGATGAATGAAAGATCTAAATCTGACACTTAAAACTATAAAGAACATGGAAAAAAATGGGAGGAAACCTAGGGACCCTAATTTGTGGCATAAATAGACTATCAAACCTAACTAATAATGGAAAAACAACAGGAAATAAACTAGATAACTGAGACCTCCTAAAAATTAAATATTTATGTACATCAAAAGGCTTCTCCAAAAGAGTAAAAGGAGAATATACAGACTGAGTCTCTGTCAGTTTGTCATACTGTGGTGGCTTGCATGTTGCTGTGATGCTGGAAGCTTTTCAAATACCAGCAGGGTCGCCCATGGTGGACAGGTTTCAGTGGAGCTTCCAGAAAAAGACAGACTAGGAAGAAGGATCGGGAAGTCTACTTCTGAAAAAAATCAACCAGTGAAAAACTAATGAGTAGCAGTGGAAGATTGTCTGATATTGTGCTATAAGATGGACTCTTAGGTTGGAAGACACTCAAAATACTACAAGGAAGAGTAGCCTCCTGAAAGTAGAGTCAACAGTAATGACGTGAATGGAGTCAAACTTTCAGAACCTTCATTTGTTAATGTGGCACTACTCCAAATGGCAAGAAACAACTACAAACATTGACTAATAATAAGAACATGGAATCTGTGAAGTGTGAACCTAGGAAAATTGGAAATCATCAAAAATGAAATAGAATGCAGAAAGATTGATATCCTAAGCATTAGTGAACTGAAATGGACTGGTATTGGACATTTTGAATCAGATAATCATATGGTCTTCCCTATCAGGGATGATAAATTGAAGAGGAATGGCATTGCATTCATTATCAAAAAGAATATTTCAAGATCTATCCTGAAGTACAATGCTGTCAGTGATATGAAAATATCCATACGCCTATAAGGAAGACCAGTTAATAAGACTATTATTTCAATTTATGCACCAAACTCTAAGGACAAAGATGAAGAAATTAAAGAGTTTTACCTACTTCTGTAGTCTGAACTAGATCAAATGTGCAATAAAGATGTATTGATAATTACCGGTGACTGGAATGCGAAAGTTGGAAATAAATAAGAAGGATTGGTAGCTGGAAAATATGGCCTTGGTGATAAAAACGATGCCAGAGATCACATGATAGAATTTTGGAAGACCAACGACTTCTTCATCACAAATACCCTTTTTCACCAACATGAACAGAGACTATACATATGGACCTCGCTGGATGGAATACACAGGAAACAAATTGATTATATCTGTAGGAAGATACAATGGAAAAGTTCAATATCATCAGTCAGAACAAGGCCAGGGGCCAACTGAAGAACAGACCATCAATGGCTCATATGCAAGTTCTAGTTGAAGTCAAAGAAAATTAGAACAAGTCCACGAGAGCCAAAGTATGACCTTGAGTATATACCAGTTGAATTTAGAGACCATCATCTCAAGAATAGATTTGACACATTGAACACTAATGACCAAATGCCAGACGAGCTGTGGAATGACATCAAGGACATCATACATGAAGAAAGCAAGAGATCATTAAAAAGACAGGAAAGACAGAAAAGATCAAAATGGATGTCAGAAGAGACTTTGAAACTTCATCTTTAATGTTGACTAACTAAAGTGAATAGAAGAAATGATACAATAAAAGAGCAGACAGAAGATTTCAAAGGGTGGCTGGAGAAGACCAAGTAAAGCATTATAATAAAATCTACAAAGACCTGGAGTTAGAAAACCAAAAAGGAAGAATATGCTCAGCATTTCTCAAGCTGAAAGAACTGAAGAAAAAATTCAAGCCTCGAGTTGCAATAGTGAAGGAATCTATGGGCAAAGATGAAAGAAGAGTGGATGCCTTTGGATTATGGTGTGATGACGAACATTGAATATACCATGGACTACCAGAAGAATGAACAAATCTGTGTTGGAAGAAGTACAGCCAGAAAGCTCATTAGAAGCGAGGATGGTAAAACTTCATCTCACATACTTTGAACACATTACAAGGAGGAACCAGTCCTCAAAAAGACATCATTCTTCGTAGAGTAGAGGGTCAGTGAAAAAGAGAAAGACCCTCAACAATATGGACTGACACACTGGCTGCAGCAGTGGGCTCAAGCATGACAGCAATTGTGAGGATGGCACAGGACTGGGTGGTGTTTCATTCTGTTATACATAGGGTCACGATGAGTCGGAACTAACTCAACAGCACCTAACAGCAACATGGGCAAAATACTGAACTACAAAAGAAGCTTCAAAAGAAGCTGGAAGGAATACACAGAGTCAGTCTACCAAAAAGAATTGATCGATGTTCAATCATTTCAGGAGGTAGCATATGATCAAAAACCAATGTACTGAAGGAAGAAGTCCAAGCTGCACTGAAGACATTAGCAAAAAACAAAGCTCCAGGAATCGACAGAATACCAGTTAAGATGTTTCAACAAGTGGATACAATGCTGTAATTGCTCACTCATCTATGCCAAGAAATTTGGAAGACAGCTACCTGGCCAACTGACTGCAAGAAATCCATATTTATGCCTATTCTAAAGAATGGTGATCCAATGAAATACGGAAATTATTAAACAATATCATTAATATCAAGCACAAGTAAACTTTTGAGGAAGATCATTCAAAAGCATTTGCAGAAGTACATCGATATGTATGATGGTAAAGGTTGTGTTTTAACTTGGCTGGACCATGATTCTCAGTGGTTTGGCAGTGGTATGATGTTGTGATCACTTCTATGATGAGATTTGATATAATGTGATCACCCCCATGCTGGGATCTGCTGTGAGTAACCAATCAGCTGAAAGGTAGTTTCTTTGGGTGGGTGGCCTGTACTGAATATAAGTGGACATTCTGGCAAAGCTCATGGACTTTTGCTCATTCTGGATCCTGCGGCTGGCTCCTGTTCATCTGACCTCTGGTTCTTGGGACTTGAGCTAGCAGCTTACCTGAGGTCTTGCCTGGAGATCTTAGGATTTGTCGATCTTCAATCTTCGCAGCCTGTAAGCAAGAACCCTGCTCTCCAACCTGGCAATCATGGGTTCGCCAGCCCCGAGCAGCTATGTGAATCAGGAGAAGCCTATATCCTGACCTATGGATTTGGGACATTCCTCCCTCTACAACCTCATGAGTCTCTTCCTTGATATAAATCTATATATATATACTTAAATGCTTTACTGATTTTACTTCTCTAGAGAACCCAGCCTAAGATGTTTGGTAACAAGAGTGGTTGTAGAGAAACAAAATTGTATGGATGAATTGTCGAAATTGGTTCTTAAGTCTGGTTAGTCTTAAAGATGTTGATGACTGTGCTTCTGGGAGTAAAGAGGGCACTGTTATCCATGCTGTGAGGGGGCAATACAAATACACAAAATATCACCACTAAT